AATCAATTAACCTTCATTAGCCTAATGGATCTTCTTGGCATGATTGATGGGCTGTCCTCCAGCTTCCATGATTCAAACAAATACAGAGGTCCTTTAGTTTCCTGAGACTGGAGGAGTTTCTGTAACAATTTCTTTGGAAGTGTTTAACATACTTAGGTCTGAGGTGGAGCTCATGTCTGCTACCCCTCCTAGCAGTAGGGTGCTGAGCTGTGAGGGCAATGACATTTTTTCCCATAGAACTTCTTAAGACTTTTTGTACTTCTCCCTTCTGCATTTCCAAAAGAATTGACTTGCTAATTTCAGACTTTTGTGTGAATGAGCATATGACCAGGGTAGTTCTTCTTTTCAGCATGCACAAGAACCCAGTAGCGGTTACTGAAACTTTACCTTGCAATGGAAGAAGTACTTAGAACTAAATTAAAGCAAGAGAATATGGTGCACAACTTCTTACCTCAGCTTTTTCACTATGCTAGCTGCACTCTGGAATCAAGATGTGTTCATCTTATCCAACATCATCCTATCATTCACATTTTATTTTGTGGTCCATGGTGTAAGTCCACTTTTGGTGGTTAGTTTTTTTCCTTTATTTGAACTTCGTTGATCAAAGCCCAGCTAGGTCTACCTTGTAGGAAACTTGTCAAGCTAGAAAACCTGTAAATCCATCTTTTCCTCTCTGTGTTGCTATGAGGGGCAATTTTACATATCCTCTCACAAGTGTCTTACTTTCTTTTCTCTCTCTCTGCTAATCTTTCCATTTCCAGTGCAGGCATCCAGAGGTCTGGGACAAAATGCTAGATCCCTCTGTTTTGGGAACTTCGAAGACACCTACGTATATTTCAGGACTAAGCACTGTGCTTGATCTAGGACAAATATATGCACTTTTACCAACAATTGTAAGACCCCATAATAATTCAGAGTATTCTTTAACACCATCTTTTTTTTTCTTTTCACAGCAACAAATTGTGCATTAATATTAATTTATTTGTAGGAAAATTCATATCTTTGCAGGAACAAGGAATTTGAGACTCTTTTAAGTCTTTGAAATCAATGCTCTGCTACCAGAACTAACCACACTAAATAATGCCTGGCACAATTTTCCTGCCCCAAGATTTCATTTTCCTGAAACCACATGAATGTTCTGGCTTCACGTCACTTCATTACCCTGCAAAAATACTACTTCCATGTGTACTCGAGGCCTATCATTATGGAAGATGTGATGTACTCCTTGGCATTTTGTTTGTCTGTAGATTCCCAAAATTTCTCCACTGAAATGAGAGATCAAAGACCTTTGTGGTTTTAAAAGACGGCTTATTTAGAGAGGGTTTTACAGAAAACATTCTGTTTTTTCTTCATTGTTCTTTCCCCCAGACTGGAAGAAAAATAATCCTGACTGAAAATGATGTTTTCCTTTCTGCGAATTGAACACTTACAAAGATTAATTGGTGACTATCAAAACAGGTGAGCTGAAAATATTAAAATGTGATAGCAAATAAAAGCAACTGCCAAGGAATTTATGACTCCTGATTTTGCGTAGAGTATTACTTACACACAGCTGATAATGGATTTTAGAGAAAAGAGCTTGCTAATAAAACAGTGCTGAAACACACTTATGCCAAAGACCATGACTTGGGAAATCAGAGTATTTCCTTCCCTACCCTGACACTCTCTGTGGGAGGCCTGACTGAGTGTGGCACAATCCCCAACAAAGTATAGCCAATAGTCCCAGAAAGACAGCACAACAGAGGGGTGTAGTGCAAAACGAGATTATTGCTCCACTTCAGATATGTCAGTAGTGGAAGGTAAATAGAGTTCATTGCTGTACTTGTACTTGCCCAGAAAAATACCACCAAAGAAAGGGTGGAAGGAAAGTGTTTGATGAGGTAGAAGTAAATGCGTATATTATTATTAAGTTGTGCATGAACTGCAAAGACTCCACAGGGGCAATTATTGGGATGTACACATAGGAACAATGGGGCTGATTCATCCTTGTATCCTTCCAGCTTTGCATCACAGAGTCCTAGTGAGGACAGTGGTGTCAGAATAAATTTGCTTACAATCATAGCAAAAGTGATTCCTTTCTAAGTCACTCCAAAAAAAAAAAAAAAAAAAAAAAAACCTTCTCAAAATACATGCTTGCCAAGCACAGCAACGTTTTAGCTTATAGGAGATGTATTTATGGTTATTCAGGTTTTAATTAACATGCTCTACAGTCCCAGTGTACCATCAAAGCCATATCAAAAAAAAAAGGATTTATTAAGGAGTTATTAAGGATTTTTAAGGAGTTGATCTTTTTGGTAAACAATTCAAGACAAAACTTGCACAAACTTGAACCAAAGCTACTGATTAGCTTTTTCTCACTTCCTGAAACTGACAGTACAAACGTTTGGAAGTTATGAGACTTTCTTGCACAGATATAAAAAAAAGTAGGTCAAAGAAAATTATAACAATATGAGAGGTAAGGGAGGTAACAGGAGCAAAATGTAGAAAAGCAAAATGAATATAGAAAAAGAACAATGAAGGAAATAAAACCTGCAGAGGTTTTAAAGGCTGCAGAGAAGAGACAGCCCAGGGTGGAAGAGAGATGCAAAAAAGCAATTTTCAAGAACCCCAGAAATCTAATTTTAAAAGGGCACTGTTGGCCAAGAAAAGATTGCTGACAATTTCCTGCATCTTGAATCCTGCTGGTCATCTTATATTAGTAGAGAAACTGAGACACATAATTTTTTGAAACTTAAAATAGCAGGAGATCTTTAACATTTGCCCGAAAGAGATGGCCTGAGAAAGAAAACAGGTCACTGAAGCAGCCCAAATGAACAGAGATAATAGCACGTGTAAAATTTCAACAAGAGCAAACATAAAAAAGAAAATCCAAAAACTAGGGGGAAAAAGAAATACATTTAAGCCTCCTAAACTGGATTAAAATAAAATGTTCTTCTTCTTTTAACCTAGGTTTTTTTTAGGCAAGGTTGAAGAAACAGAAATCACCACAGACAATGAAAATACTGAAGCAGACACAGTTTTCATAAACACAGGAGTTTACTTACTCAGGTAGACAATCCTATTGCATTCTGAAAGGTACCGCCTGATAAAATACACAGACATTTCCAGCTTTATATGTCTCACTTCTTTCAATCTTGGAGCTGATTTGCACAAGCTGGAAATTCCTATGCTATGCAAGGCTGCAGTGGGAACCTGTATTTCTTCTTTTTGCCGGGACCCTGCTTTGCTGCTGGGTACACCGGAAAGAACAAACTGTACTGCAAGGCACCAACATGATTAACAAGTGCCTGGGGAGCTCTGAAGGCGGAAGCGGCGGCGTTAACCCTGCTGTGATCACACCTTCTGCTGCACGAGCTTTGCACAACCGCAAGCCAACCCCCGAACGCATGGCGCAGCCAAACAGGACAACCCCGCAAAGAAGTTAAAGGAAAACTTGTGCAGAGAGAAGGAGTTTCCTTTTCTGAGCTGTAGCAGTATGTTCCACTGAAGAATTTGGCAGCCGGCCACGAAAAAGTGTAATCTGGACCTAGATAGAAAAGTTACACAATGTCAGTTTTTGGGGCCACAGGTCTCAAATGAGGATGGCAATTTCGCCTTGCAGCAGTTGGGAATTTCACACAGCTAAGTGAAGAAGTCTTAATCCTTTGACAGGACAATACAAAGGTTATAAAGCAAGCAAGGAAATGAGGGATTGATATCAGGCTTTGTGCAAGAATCAAAAGATAATAAATACATAACCTCAGCTGGGTTAAAATCATAGTCATGACTATTTAGTATATAGATGGAAAAAAGGGGCAAGAAAAAACGGACAGCAATTTTTAATGGACAGAGGAATTAGTAAAGTCTGATTTCCCATAAATTCCTGTCCCCTGTTCCTCCTTTCCCTGCAACCGCAGTAAACCTACATTTCTGCCAGGTCCCAAATACACACGGTGAGTGCTCTGCCATTTCCTCTCCTACTATTCTGTTCAGCATGTGCTGGACTGACGGATGAAAGCCGAATCTTTGTTCTCCCTCCTGAAGGGTACTGAAGAGGCAAACTTGTCCTTCCTTACCCAGACATCTCTTTTTTTGAAGTTTGCAAAAATCGGTCATCTCTGAGGCTTTCCATCCCACCGCCAAATGTGACTGAGCTAGGTCAATAAAAATTAACAGGGGAACTGCTTGGTGGAGAGAAATCAATGCAATAATTTCCCTCAGCCAGACTTAGGAAGCAAAACTAATTACTGGTGTTATTTTTGGTGCAGAATGCTGAGAAGAAAAAAGTCAGAAAATATTCAGGATACAAAACAATATTGAAAAATGACAATTGACTTCTCCTGAATGAAATATTATATTTAGCTTATGGCACATCAGAAAAGGGATTAAATAAATAGGTCATATGCAGAGATGAGCTATCAGTTTATAAAATAGTTGTTACAAATGTATCTGTAAGTATTTTTTATATTTATTTATATATGTAAGTTGCTTAATATTATATATTGTTGCTGTCGAGGCAGGACAGGAATGAGAAGACTCACTCAGAAGGCTGCTGAGAGTAAAACTCTGATTTATTCAAAATACACTGCTCTTTTATACAGAGATTCGCAAAGGCCAAATCCATTGGTTCTGAAGTGAAAACAATCTAAACCATTGGTGCAGGGTGCTTGACGCACAGTGATAGAACTTGACTATAAACAATGTGAGAACAAGAGAGATAAAGAATTATTTACATTCTCTCCAGCTCTTTCCCAGGCGTCTGCCTGGCTAGAAACTCTCAGTTTCTTTTCTTTGACTCAATCTGAGTCCCACAATATATAATATATATAATTAGGTTGCTTAACATAACATATAATATTTGTAATTTTAAATTAAATGTTATAAAAATATAAAAAACCCAAAAAAAGGTAGATTTTAAAATCGAGTTACAAAAATTGTGTGATTTAGAGTTAAAACTCCCTAGAATTCTCTAGAGGAGTACAAGCGAGGCAGAGGCAAGTCCGCGGCTACAGAGTAGGGCGCGGCATAGGTCAAAGGAAACTGAGCCGCATCTTTTGTCCTTCGGAACCCAGCGGTGCCCGGGAAAACTTGATGTTCTGTGCACATCAAACGACGGCAGCAAGCGCAGTCTAATGCAACGCACGGGGTAACTCGAGGCACCCGGGAGCAAAGGGCGCGGAGCAGGGCGGCCTCAGGCACCGGCCAGCCGGGCGGCACCACTGCCACGGCTGCTGAGACAGCCGCACGTTTCCTCAGGCGGCCCTCCCGCCGCGTTCCCTCCAGTTCCCGGCCGGGATCGGGCCCTCTCCCGGCGGGATCGGCCCCTCTCCCGGCGGGATCGGGCCCTCTCCCGGCTCCCCGTGCCCCGGGCTGCCGCAGGCCGCGGCGCTGGCGGGACGGGCGGGCTGAGGGGCGGCGGCCCGGAGAGCTGCCGGGGCCTGTGGCGGCCGCAGCACCGCCGGTACTCGGGGGAAAGGCGACAGCACGGGCATTTAAGATGCTCTTAGGGTGCTTAAATAAGTTAGGACTGTGGTCACAAACTGACGGTCTGCTCTGCAGAGAAGCCGGAAGGACATCGCAGTATCACATCGCAGGTTTATTTTACGAGATTCTGCATGAAAGTGTTCTAATTCTCAGTGATGATCTTTGAGTAACCTGTTCTAGCTAATTAAAAATGAACCAAATGAAATTAATATATCGACCTGCGATCCCACGGGACAGCCCTCCATATTGCCTTGTCTACAAGAACTAAATAGAAAGAATATAAAACAATACACCTCTTTTTTATCCCTCCAGTTCTTCACTTCTGCCTGAAATGGCCGAGCAAAATTCCCCATCACTAGCTGAAGTTGTAAAACGAGTTGCAGAGCAGCAGCAGTCACAGGTGTCAAACATAGAAAAAAGTAAATCAGTTCTTTTCCAATTGCAGGTAATAAACCTTGTTTAGAGTAGTTTAATCAACTATTTTTCATTAGATAAAGAAGTATTTCCTTGAACAAGAGAAGCTGGTGGTGCTTGATGGGCGAGTGCGTTCAAGTGTAAGACAGCTATTCTGTTGCTGTGTGTGGCATTTAGGCTCAGCCAAAACCATGGGTGTGTATTGTTGTTTGTAAGGCCACAACACAGCTAGGTATTCATTACAGCAGGTGAAACGTTGGTTTGTTGCTTGGAAAAAACAAAACAAAAATACTGGGCTGAACACACAAAGTGAACTAAATGCAAAGTTAGAGCTTTTTGATTTTTTTTTTTTAAATTGTAATTTCCTAAGAAATTGTGGGGGAAGGATTTAAAAAGTTTGTTTTTTTTTTTCAGATTTTCACCACACTGTATAATTTTTTTTGTAGCATCTTTTTTTGACACAAAATACTTTTTTATTCCCCCTTATGTTTAAAGTGGGAATCTGAAATAGTCATTAAATACTGGTATTATTCAGTACTATTTTGTAGAACACTTGATAGATGTAGTTTTTGTGGAGACTGTGTGATCATTTCTTTTGTCTTTTATCAAGCTTTCAATTATTGTTTAACCTTCAAGATTAAACTTCTATTGAGAAACTTACTTTTAAGTCTGAGAAAAGCTGATTCCAGTCGACACTTTTGATCATGGAAGAATGCAAATGGAAATAGTAGAGTTCCAATTATAACATCTGTGCATAGCTCTACAACTGAAATAACTGATATTTGAAATTTTGGACAAAAGTAACATTTCTGAAGTGGCACTGAAATCTTGTATTTTTAGGAATGTCAGTGGACTGGCCACACTTTACAAGAAGATTTGTCCTGTATCCCAAAATATAGTCTGATGATGCTGCAACAATAATTTGCAATCTTGCAATTTAAAAACAAGTATCTGTTTTAAAACAGACCCTCAAAACTTTAAAGTCCTAGGTAATGACAGGTCCTTTTCCAACCTGGATGATTCTGTCATTTCTTATGATGATTTGAAGTACTACTTTGTGGTTTTGTTCACTTCTCATCAGTGAGATGATGTAGATGCCTTTTTAGGACTAGATACATATTTCTTATGGGGTTGAAAACAGCTGTGATTAATTCAACTCTCAGCTACTACTGTGATGAAGTTAGGATTTTTTCCTCAGTTGAACAGTCTAGTTAAGTTCCATCACCTGACACACCCCTCTATGTGTCTGTGTAGGTTTTCAAGGTATTTTTGGCATCTTTAGTTTTTTTTAGTCTGATTAGGACTTCACCAGCTCTAACCAAACATCATATATATATATATATATATATATATATATATATATATATATATATGTATCTTGCAACTGTAAGGTATTTAAAGGTGAGTTCAAAGGTATCTTATTTAATATTTTAGACTCAATCTAAGGGGAGAAGACTAAGATAGTATTCTTACATTGTGCCCTAAGATGATGATTAAGAAATAGAAGTCTAATTATCTTCCATTCAAATCACATTAGACAAGTGAAAAAAAAAAGGCTGTTGAATAAATACAAATTACAGTGTTTAACTAGATACATCTTCCTCAAAAAAATTTCTTAAATGAACACTGAAATATTTTACAGGCAAAGTGCCAGGAACTAGAAAATGAAATGAATTCTATTCTGTTAGAAACAAAGACAACAGAAAGGGAAATACATCTGCAAGATGATGCTATAGAAGTGACAAAATATTGCTGTGAAAATCTGGAGGTCCAAGTCAGAGCTCTGTATTCTGAAAATTTAAAATTGAGGTGTGAGGCAGAAACAGTACAAGAGGAGTTTGAGATGATACTTGCAAGAAATAATGAATATCGGGGAAAAATAAAGGATCATAAACATCTTTTTTGGGAGATGGAAAGTAAATTGCCAGTTATGATTGAACTTGCTAAAAAGAAAGCAGTTGTAGAAGAATTAAAGGCAAAGAAAGAAGAATTAATATGTGATCTCCAGAATCCAGAAGGATCTGTTATAAAACAAGTGCAGGTACTATATTTCCTTCTTGGTTTTTTTTTTCCTGTTATGTGAAATACTTTTGATACAGTTCATATAATATGATTATTTTGTCTAACATGTTTATGGTTCATGAGGGACTGACTACAAGGGAATATAGGTGCATAATGCTGCATTAATTGGAAAAAAAAATTACTTCAATATGCAGTTAAAAATATCAGTATTATTATTTTAATTAGTATTAATAGGTTGATTGTGAAATTGTTTATTATAGACCTTTATCTCATCTCTATTAACTGAGACTGTTTAGATTACACAATAAGTATACTAATAAGTATATTAGACGAACTGTGCAACCTTTGAAGGAGTGGATTTCTGTATCTTGACTTACATCTGCAGGAAGAAATCACACTTTTAAAAAGTGAAATCACAACACTGAAAGATTTAATCAATAAAAAAAGAGATCTGCTGGAAGAAGAGAAGAAAAAGCATGCTAAGCTTAGAAAGGAAATTGAGGTGAGTCATTGGAAGAAAATTTTATTGCAGTTCTCCCGATGGAATGTAGATAATGCAAATGAAGTTTGAATTACTTTATACATTGTTCAAGTACATGCAGTAATGGTGCTGTCTTAAATTCTGGGTACTGATAGTCTTTCTAAAATTCAGAGCTTAACTGTGAAGAACATTTTTTTCTGAAATCTTTTGAGAAGAATGTCATATGTGAACCTTTGGAATGATTTCTGGAAAAAGAAGAAGTCACTGAATGGTAGTAAAGCAAATGCACATTTTAAAATTTCTGTAATACTTCTGAAATACTTTACATTTCACTGCTGACTTGATTATTCATGACTTGATGACTCATCAGTGGAAGAATCAAATGCACCAGGAATCTCCCTAATTTAAGATGACATTAAATTAGGAATAACACAGTAGCTCCTAATTAGCTGACAAGATAAAATTCTGATCAATAGTTAAAACATTCTCTTTAAATAATTGAACTATATTTTTTGTTTTCTTCCTTACTAAAATAACCTGTATGATTAGACAATTTTTCATTTGGAAGTTTCATATCATTTATCTTGTCAGTTCAAATAAATGCCACAAAATTTAATGAGCAAAGCTTAACAATATAAAGATTAATTGATTTAAGGTTAAGTCTGTTGCCCATTGTATAATGTAGGAGGAAGAAATAATCATTTTTTTCATGTGACAGTGAGCAGAGAGAATTTTTAACCTGAAAAGTAAAACACAGCTGCTTTAGAATAGGTCTACTATTCCAGTCAGCATTTGAGAATTTTTTTTATTACCAAGGCAACATCTTCTTAAGAAAATTTTCTAAACCCAAAGTTAAATTTAGTAGCCTAAAAATTATGTTCTGTTCTGTTATCAAAATCAAAATTAAATAGTGAAGGTCAACCATCACGTCTGTTCTTCAGTTGTTTGGATTATATGTTCTTTTTGTCTCAGAAGGAAGCAGGTTCAAACCCAAAGCCTTTCAGGGTATTATTTTCTATTAAGAACTCTCCTGAAAATAATCCAATTTTTAATATAAGAACTGACAGTGGATAGACAGAGATATTTATACCTAGAAGTCCTCAGCACAACTTGGGAAAGAATATTCAAATCAAGCACAAGAATAAAGTGAGATAGTAGGCACGTGGATGAGGTTTTATTGAGCTGCAGTGGTGGAATTCAGCTACAGACTGCTGGCACCTGGTGTAATTGTTTGGATCATCCAAAGGAAGGCAGCTAAGGTGGGCCTTGAGGGGAAGCCATATGAGGAGCATCTGAGATCACTTGGTCTGTTCAGCCTGGAGGGGACAAGACTGAGGAATTGCAGGACTGTCAATTCTGCCCTCATTGCAGTTTCAGCTTCCTTGTGAGGGGAAAAGGAGGGGCAGGCACTGATCTCTTCTCTGGGGTGACCAGTGACAGGATCTGTGGGAAGGGAAGTTGTGTCAGCAGGTTCAGGCTGGATATCAGGAAAATGTTCTTCACCCAGGTGGTGGTTGGGCACTGGAACAGCCTCCCTAGGGAAGTGGTCATAGCACCAAACCTTGACAGAGTTCAGGAAGCATTTGGACAATTCAGACACATGGTGTGACACTTGGGAATGTCCTGTGCAGGGCTAGGAGTTGGACTTGATGGCCCTAATGGGTCCCATCCAACTCAGTATATTCTGTGGCTCTTAAGCCTATGGACCTTACTCTCTTTCCTGAGCACCAGCCCCATCATCCAATTCTTGAAAATCAGATCCCGTTCCCAGCAGTAGATAGGGTTGTCAGCAATAAATCAGGGTGGTTATCTGTGTAGGGTCAAGGCTTCAGTCATAAGGATAATTCAAAATATCCACAAATGATAGAAAATTTGTTGTTATGTAAAAGTAATTAAAAAACCCCCAATCCTATCTATTCCCCTGCTGCCCTCTTTTGCCAATGCCAGTGTGTGACTGTATTACTCTTGGCAGATACTTGCCTATTGTGTCATTAAATGATCCTGGTGGTGGAGATATCCTGAGTGCCCAAACAAATTTTTTCTAGTGTTTGACTTTCATGTACACAAGATCCAATAAAAAACACAATGTTGTCCCTTCCCTGTCTCCAGTAATCATGTTAGTGCTCCCTCCCTCAGCAGATGTGCCAGACTGTTCCAAATAATGATGCTAGAGACAAATTTCTAAAAAAAGCAGATAATATTGATCATAGATGTTTCAGTACAATGTAGTCCTAGTGGTGCAGATGCCCCAAGCACTTGTTCAGATGAGTGAATCTGACAGCATCCCTCAAAAAGTTGCAAACAATTATAGTGGAGGGTAAGGTGACATGAAGGCAATGAGGTAACAAGCCATCGTCTATAAGGAAGGCAGTAATTTATAGAACACCAGTGAGGCAGTTTCCTAGTTATTTGTGAAATTTAGGCAGTGAGATTTGCAGGAAATCACCAAGAGTGCTGTGGGTTCTGATGCAGCTGTACATCATCATGTGCATGTGAAATACAGTCTAATAAAGCTTGTGTCTGCTTCAGTAAGCAGACACAAGAGTAATTATACACTACCACTCATATGCCATTTAAACTAGGGTAAGTAAGCCCAAATTTCATTAAGGGAATGCTCATTATTTCTATTTTTATTGCAGTGAGTGTTTAATTCTTTTAACACTTCAGAATGCAAATTTACTTCTTCACATAAGGCAGCAATAAGGGTAGAATTTACAGTCCTGCATAACTGCAGTGTTGTCTAAGAAAAATCTGCCATTTTAAATGCAGTGCAGCTACAAAGGTGCTACTACAGTCAGTGAGGTTACCACATTTGTATTCTCATTTAGACACAAACACGCTTGTCAAAGAATGACAATTTCTTCTTTCTCACCTCTCATTTTGGAACCTCAAATCTTCCACATGCAAAGCCTTGCCAGAAATGTGACATGCTGTTCTTCTGTGGTATTTACTTAGTTAAATTTTAAACCTCTACAGAGTAGATACCCACACTGAACTCCACACGTAAGGTCTTATTATGATAGAACTTTTCTTTCCTTAATGGAAAGGAAGTGAGGCATGATTCATGTCCTAAGCCAGACATCTGAAATAAGTCAGATGAATACTTGAGGGCCATGCAGGACCAGAGTGGGGCTTCCTCCGTTGCTGAGTGGCTGCTTGTAGGAATGCTGAGCAGGTGTGTTGCTTGTGCTTGAGGGTCTGAGGCAGGGCTTCCTCCGTCACTGAGTAGTGTGCTGATTAAATGAGGCCTCTAGGGAGTGTGGTGAATAGGAGCCGCCTACCAGGGGTGTGATATGTCTCTGAAGGTGCAGCACAGCAGTTTTCAAGGCAGTTTGCACAGGATTATGGGTTTTCTTGCTAAGTATGGTTTACTGTGCGTTGTTTGCAGCGTTTCTGATGTTTGGTAAGTTTTAGGCTTTCTGGTAGTAATGGTTTGTATGCATTTGAAAGCTATAGTTAATATGAATGTGTGTAATCAAATGGAACCCTCCAAAAAGGAAGTGTCTGTCCAGACTTATTCAGAGAGTGCCTTGGGAAGCAGTCCTTAAAAACAAAGGAGTTCAGGAAGGGTTGGCATGCTTCAAAATTGAGATCTTGAGGGCACAGGAACAGGAATGTCCCTGTGTGCCAAAAGATGAGTTGATGAGGCAAACATCCAGCCTGGATGGGCAAGGAGGTTTTGAAGGAATTTAGGAATAGAAAAAGAATGTATTATCTTTGGAAGGAGGGTCAGGTCTCTTAGGAAGTATTTAGAAAGGCTGCTACAGTATGTAGGAAAAAAATTAGGGAGGCCAAAGCTCAGTTTGAACTTAAAATGGAGACTTTTGTAAATGATAATTAAAAATGTTTTTATAAATATATTAATGGTAAAAGGAAGAGTAAGACTAATCTTTATTCTTTATTAGATGCAGAAGGGAACTTAATAACTGCAGATGGGAGAAGACAGAAGTGCTTAAAGCCTTCTTTTCTCAGTTCTTAGTGGGAAGATGACTTCCCTTCAGGACAGCTGTCCTCTTGGGTAGGCTGATGGTATTGGGGGGCAGAATGGTCCCCCCATTGTCCAAGAAGAGGCAGTCAGAGAACTGCTGGGATGCTTGGATATTCATAAATCCATGGGACCAGATGGGATCCATCCCAGGGTGATGAGGGAGCTGGCAGATGAGCTTATGAAGCCATTCTCCATCATTTACCAATAGTCCTGTCTCTCTGGTTATGTTCCAAATGACTGGAAGCTGGCCAGTGTGATGCCCATTCATAAAAAGGGTGAGAAGGAGGATCCTGTTAATTATAGGTCAGTTAGCCTGACCTCAGTACCCAGTAAGGTTATGGAACAGTTCATACTGAGTGCTATCACACAACACTTACAGGATGGCCGGGGTATCAGACTCAGCCAGCATGGGTTTAGGAGGGCTAGGTCATGTTTGACCAACCTGATCTTCTTTTATGACCAAATGACCTGCCTGGTGTATGCAGGAAAGGCTGTGGATGTGTACCTGGACTTCAGCAAGGCCTTTGACACTGTCTCCCACAGCACACTCCTTGAAAAACTGGCAGCCCATGGCTTGGACGGGAGCACTCTGTGCTGGGTTAGGAACTGTCTGGATGGACAGGCCCAGAGAGTGCTGGTGAGCGGTGCTGCATCCAGCTGGGGCCAGTCACCAGTGGTGTCCCCTAGGGGTCTGTGCTGGGGCCAGTTCTGTTTAATATCTTTATAGATAACATGGATGAGGGGGATGGAGTCTTTCATTAGTAGGTTTGTGGATAACACTAAGCTGGGATCATGTGTAGATCTTTTGGAGGGTAGGAGGGTTTTGCAGAGAGACTTGGAACAGTTGAATGGATGGCCAGAGTCTAACAGGATGACGTTTAATAAATCCAAGTGCTGAGTCCTGCATTTTGGCCACAATAACTCCCTGCAGTGTTATAGGCTGGGGATGGTATGGCTGGACAGTGCCCAGGCAGAAAGGGACCTGGGGGTGCTGGTCTACAGCCAGCTGAACATGAGCCAGCAGTGTGCCCTGGTGCCCAAGAAGGCCAATGGCTCCTGGCCTGTATCAGGAATGGTGTGGCCAGCAGGAGCAGGGAGGTCATTTTCCCCCTGCACTCAGCACTGGTGAGGCCCCACCTTGAGTGCTGTGTCCAGTTCTGGGCCCCTCAGTTTGGGAAGGACTTTGAGACACTTGAGCGTGTCCAGAGGAGGGCAATGAGGCTGGTGAGGGGCTTGGAACACAAGCCCTGTGAGGAATGACTGAGGGAGCTGGGGGTGTTTGCCTGGAGAAAAGGAAACTCAGGAGTGACCTTATCCCTCTCTACAACTTCCTGAAAGATTATTTTAGTCAGGTGGGGGTTGGTCTCTTTTTTCAAGCAGCAACTGACAGAACAAGGGGACACTGTATCAAGCTGTGTCAAGGGAAATATAGGTTGGATATTAGGAAAAAGTTTTTCACAGACAGTCATAAGTTTCTGGAATGGCCTGCCTGGGGAGGTGGTGGAGTCACCATCCTTGGATGTGTTTTAAAAAAGACTGGCTGTGGCACTCAATGCTATGGTTTAGTTGAGGTGTTGGGGTGTGGGTTGGATTCGATGATCTTGAAAGGTCTCTTCCAACATAGTCATTCTGTGAATGGCTTCCTAGATGTCTCTGTCTCTTCAGTAGCTAAACATAAATGTGGAATAACTTGGCCAAATGTCAGAACATATACTTGGACAGAATTAGGTGAGCTGAGCTCACCTCTGTAAATAGTTTTACTGGAATGAAATGTTTGTTTTTTCTTTTTTTAGGTACAGAATAAGAGATATGATGCTATATTAAAACGTTTGCATTGCCAACTGAACAAAGTCCAGTCAAATAAAAGACAATGGCACTGGAACATTCAGCAGTTGGAGAAGAAGGCTGCAGAACTAAGAAAGTGTCTTGGAGTAGCAGAGTTACAAAACATCGTGTAATAAACTTAACAAAGATAGAATGTATATAATCTTTTCCAGGCAGGGGAGTTTTTTCTGGAAATGCTACAAATCTTAAATAGCTTGATAACTGGCCTTACTGATTATTTTCTTTTTAATGGTTTTGTCTTTCATTTTGTGGTGTAAACTGATAGCCACAATAATGAAATGGCTGTTCAGAAATAGCTGTTCAGGAAGAAAGTTACTGACACTTTGAGGTGTTTTCGAAATATGTTTTATCTAAAAAGTTATTTGAAAGTCAACCAAACAAGATTTGGGAAGTTCGTTCATATTTCACTTGGTCTCTTAGAGAGAAATTAATATTGGTATCTATCTGCACTCCTGAGACACCGAAGTTCTTTTGTCCTTTATCCATATCTTTTTATTGCAACTTGCTAAGGAACTCTGAAAGCTTTGATAGCCCGTATTTTGCTCTGCAGTCTGCCAGGATGTTTTGGCATGGGGGCCAAAGGCTGTCCAGGTGTAAAAGGCTTTGGAACAAGTACGCTCATAAGTGGACTTCAAATAATCTGACTTCAATTGGTCTAATAGATGTTAGCAAAGAGGAGGGAGTACCAGATCTGGACAGCTTGTAAAATAGAACAACTCACCCTCAAGAAACAGGAATACATTACAGATTGATGATAGAGGAATTTATTGTCTACAGGATTTTAACTAATATCAGCCATCTAACATCTTAGTGCTTAATGATCTAAGATGACTCAACATAAATGACAATGTATTAAAAAATCTTGTTAAAACAGTAGTGAACAGTAGCCATTTTCCTTTACTTTCTTTTTATTTTTATATTGCTTGGGGGGATTTGAAAAGTTTACAATACTTTCCCTACTCTTACACTTAAGGCAGTCGTTCTGCTTGGACATAACTTGTAATGTTTATCTGTTCTATGGAAGTAGCTTTTTATTTAAGGTGTTGTCTTGAATAATTTAGATTTACCTTTACCCACGAATATAAAATGAAGACTTGACTATTTACTGTAAAAAATGTTAAACTGCTTATATATTGTTATCTTAGAGTACCATTATTACCTTCATATATTAATGTATATTTACATTACCCTTAATATGTTATTTCACTTAATATAAAGTTATTTTAAGCAATATCCTGATTCATTAAGACTCTCTCTCAATGTTGTTAGTCTCTCAAGACTTTTTTGCTCAGTCTTTTTTCTTTGCAGTAGTACGAACCAGGCTGCTTTCATTACAGTAATAAAGTAGAAATAAAAACCCCAATATCATAATCTATAGTAACAATATGTCCTGAATATTGATTCTTACTGTGTATGTAGCATGAAACTGTAACATTGCAATTGTTTATCCCAACACAGAGCAAAATAGCATCCATTTTATGCATGTGTGTCTTCTAGAAAGGGTCCAGATCTGAAAAGTTGGAGAATTTACTGTGTTATTGTTAATTTGAGCAATTATCTGCTTTTCTTTTATTTTTCATGATTCCTAGTTTCCGTTTATTCATCTATCAAATGAAATGAGTGTACTTTATATCAAGTACAATGATATAAGTAAAAATAGTAACGTGCTGTCTTCTTGATGTGTTAAATAGTTCAAGCCTTCTAAAGCTATTGATGCTTTAGCTTAATGTATCCCCCCCAAAGTGGTACAACAGCCAACATTCTCGGGGTTGTAAGATGATGTACCCTTAAGTATGCCTTTTACCACTGATATTGTCTTGTTTTTATTTTTAGTTTCTCATTAGTTCTGCTCCAGAACAATTAAAAATATCAAAATCTGTTTTGTATCTTACTTCAGCTAAGTTCACTTTGACATCTGATACCATGGTCTAATATCACAGTTTAGCCTTGCAGTTATTATGAGTTGAAAACAACTATAGCAAACAATCCAAACTTTCTTATGTAAGAACAATATCACACCTTTGTTTTTCTTTCTGACCAGTGAATTACATGGAAATTAGGATGGTTTCGGTGTTATCAACACATGTGCAGAATGACTCACTAATCTCAAATAAATACCTTGGACTTACATCCTCCTTGTTCCTTTTTATAAATTTCAGTAATTTCTGGTATCTCAAATTACTTCTATGGTTCTTCGTACATGTTTTGAAATTGTTTAATATAATTTAACAGGGGTGCATGCAAGGGCTGTGTATAGTACTCCTTTTACTGCTACATGTGGAGGAAATGTTCCCTTCTATACAAGCACCTTCCTATCATCCAAGGTCTAAGTTGTCTTATACTCCTTCTTCCCCTTTGCAAGAGAGCCCATGTCTTTGTCCTACTGTGACCTTTGACCCCTTCATGGGATCTCAGCTACTAAAGGTGCATTCCTCCTTTTTCTTCAGTGTAAAACTTGCGTTTTCAGCATACACCCTTGAACTGTAGCTACATTTTGTGGCAATAAGACTGAGAAGCCAAGGCATACTTTAATTTTCAAAGCTCGCTCCATTAGTATGAGGGCACGGCTAAACCATGCAACATCTGGCCTGCATAGATGGGTTTCTTAGTAAAATCAGGATGTGAATTGGAAGGAATTACAAATGGCCAACATCTTCTTTTGCTACAGAGTTCAGCTAGTACCAGGGAATCCCCAGTAGTTACTAGACTATTTGAGACACAACTTAGTCCATCTAAATATATATATTGAAAAAAACAAGTTTTATTACACTATGTATACATTGATTGTTGTTGTCATCCCACATCAGTGTCCTAGTTAAATGCCACAATTATAATCTCTCATCCCACATAGATACATCATTTTTGTGTTTAACTCAACTGCCTTAAAACATGAGTTGATTCATTTTGAATTTTGGAAGCTTTGTCCTCAGTTACCAACAGACTTTTACTTTAGCCAGTGACTACACCTGAAATCTGTATTCAGTGCTAAACACCACATTTTAGAGGATCAAACACATTTTGCACACTTGCATTAAACAGAATTTTATACAGCAAAGTACTTAAAGTACTTACATATTTTCCCAGGTGCAGCATCTCAAATTTAACATTCAGAAAATAAATATAAGGAAGGTATAAACATTTTAGTAGGGAATTACAGTTAATTGGGAGAAAACCTCATCTGGAGACAAAAAAAAAGTCAGCTGAAACAAGGAAATATAAACTACTGCCTTCTCTAAACTATTGGCATTCTGTACAACAAATGAAAAAAAAAAAAAAAAAAGAGAAGTTATGTAGCTTTTTATAACAATGTCTAGTTTCAACAAATCCTAGTAACCTCTTGTGGCATGTTTTTCTTGGTACAACATTGAACTGTAGCAGTTTGATTTCAGGGCATTTTTCCACACTTAGCAAGCAAGCACAGACAATAGGAGAATGGTTTATTATTTTTGGGAAATAACTTAGTGAATGAACTTTGTATTCTTATTACATGAAATTCTCACATGAAGCTCCTGTTGGAAAACTGTGCTGCCAAATCCATATCAGTAATTTCTGAGGATGGGTGTGGGGCTAAGGGAAGAATTTCAGGCTTCAATGCTCTGCAGAGAATGGCAAGAAGAGTGATTGCCCACTCTGAACAGCAAAACAGCAATGAGCAGTGGGCATGTAAATAACTAAGTGTGGGAAAACTTACCAGCCGAGTCCTATGCACCACCTAGGAAAACTTTAAATCACAGGAAACTGGATTTATTCCAAAAATACAATGTCAACGACTAGGAGAATACTGCGGGAATTCCACACTTGATAGGGAAAATATACAGCTGTTGAATCACCCATGACTTGCAGCAAATGCTGTATGATAAAGGGAGGCATTTCCCTGTGCTGTTAGCCACTGCTCCACAGGAAACCCCTTCATGTGACTTAACAATCTCGGGTGCTGGAAGCAGAGGAAATGTGTCAGATAATGCAGACAAACCTGCTAAAGTCACTGCTCTCATCACGGCTGCAGATAAACAACATAAAAAAAGATCAACAGAACTGGAGGAGCGAAGGAGGCTTTGGGGTTAGACACCAGTGCTGTGCTGCTTTGCATCTCTAAATTTGCTTTGTCCCTCCGGAGAGTCACTTGCAGAGCTGTGTGCATGAGTGTGACAGGAGGTAGTGCACTATATTCTGCCATAGATCTTACATGATGCTTCAGAGAAGAGGAATCATGACCACATCATGCATTGATGGTATATCATGCTGTTGAGGGTGGGGAAAAAAACAAATTTCAGAACTCTTAACTGATTTTCTGAAATGCATCAATATATTCCGACCAAAGTAATTATTAGATCCTTTGTTAAAATACAGCTGTAGCATGTAACTCTGGGTCATGTGGAGGCAGTGGCTTTTTGAGGAACTGCCTTAAAAGCATGGTGAGGCACTTGCACAGGTTGCCTATAGAGGTGGTGAATGCCCCATCCCTGAAATCTTTCAAGGTCAGGTTGGACTGGGCTTAGAGCAACCTGGTCTAGTTGAAGATGTACCTGCTCATTCCAGAGGTTTTGGACTAGATGGCCTTTAAAAATCCCTTCTAAGCCAAACCATTCTATGTTTCTTTGAAAGCAAACAGAAGAGACAGCTTTACCATGTCACTAAATATAATTCTGGTTGAAAATGGTTGCTACAATAATGAGCAAAGGACACTGCTCTGTGTTGAACAGGGATTTCTCCTGTGAGGAAATCATATGAGTTCTTTCTACTTTTTTCAGTAGCTTTTTAATTTAAAGTAGTTCAATGTTTGTACAGAATTTAGTAAAATCATCTCTAAATCTTTCCAAGAGCAGCAAACTTCTTAATCCCTCATTTTATTATAAATACTATATACCATATATTCAACACTTATTGACGATCACATAAAAGCGTCGATGTTTTTCTCTGCATCTGCACGTTGTATTAATTAGGACAATCTATCACTTGCAGTGATTTCAGTAAGGTTTGCGCTGACTTATCGGCATTTGAAAAGCAGCTGCTGCTTCCCCGCACTGGCGCTGAAGTCCAATAGTTCCCTCCAGTGGTGAAACATCTTCTTACATGGTAAAGGCGCCTTTCATCCTCAGCTTTTGAAGGTCAATCCTTATCGCGAGAAGCGTTAACATTTCTACAGAACATGATGTATAATCCTAAATGCTTTTTTTTTTTCCTAAAAGTGCAGGATGAAAAGGAGATACTGCACTATCCAACTTTAACAACAACTGGAGGATTCAATGTATTCAGTCTTAATTTTTGATATGCTTTTAAATCTCAGACCTTATATTTTAATTTTAGTTGTAATGCTAAGTCCACTAAAAATAGAAGCAATGCACATTTTTTCTTATAAAATATTGAAAAATATTTGGTTTTGTATGGTACAAATTTTTCCTTAGGTCACTGTCTTCTTAGTAAGAATTATTCTGTTTAAAATCCTTGTCTCCCCCCTCTTTGACGAAGAATATATTTCAGAATTATCAGACTCACAGCTGACTAAAACTGATGAAAGTTGATAGTTACAGATTTACAACATATAAACCTGTGTTTTCAGGCTTCTTAAATAACTCTGCCTGGACTGAATCTTTTGGTCTGAAACTGCAGTTCTGTCTCAAGGTCAGTGTTCTGGAAAGCTGAAACATAAGGTATGAATGTCAATGCTTGAGGCTCCAAAAATACTTGACAAGAGAAAGGCATCCTGTAGCTGATTCAGCTCTTGCATGCCTTGTGGCAGAGTCTGGCTCTTCCCAGACACTTCAAAGGAATCCTAGCACAATTATCCTTAAGTTAAAAGACTCAATTAAATACGTATTTCATGTGATGAAACCCCAGGAACAGTACAGGGAGTCTGTTGTTTACACATAGTTAAAGATTTATTTTATGGCTGCATGCTGTGGAGACAACGACAGCTTTGGTGGGGAATTTTAAGGGGAGAAGAAGGACAGTTTCAGGATAACCATCATGTAATGACTGACGTTTAGATTTTTTTCTCTTTTTAAGTATTGGCACAGAATTCTAATCTATTGCATCCTGACTTTATAACATTCCTATAAAATGTACACTAATAGACTAGTGGCCTTCTCAATCCCCTTGGATTGAGCTATCTGAGGCTCGTGATTAAAATTTTATCCTCAGGCTTTGTCATATCTGTCATATTTAGTAAAGGACTGGAATGCCCTGCCTCAGGTGCAGTACTAATACATTATCTACCTTTTCACGCATCTCTACTAAAATTATTACCATGTCTCAAATTATGAGTTCATATTGTTGCTAAGACTTCTTTAATTGCTAGTGCATTTATTTTGGGTTTACTGGTGCAGCTAGGAAAGCGAGCAAGTATTTTTGCAGAGGAGAGCTTGGTTATCTCAAGTTTTTTCCCAGTTATATCTGCTTCTTCCTTTTTAGTCATGGAAGGAAAGAAACACTTATAGGGATGCTTTATCTGAATTGCTTTACACAGTTGCTTTAGGATGATAGGAATTGTGACCTAAAAAGTCCCTCTTAGGTGACTGTAAAGGAGTGAGGGAGTGAAGTGTCACTAGTTCTGATGTAAATAACTATTCTGGTATCTAAAGTAAGGTAATATGCATCTAAGCCTTACATTTTTAAGCCATCACAGCCATGAGATCACTGTTAGTAAGGGCTCTTTATTGTCTTATTGCTGGC